CTCATTTCGTAAAGTTTGGTTCAAACAGTTGGTCGAAATGGGTTTCAAATACTGATTTTGCCCATTTTGGTCCTGGTAATAAGTCGCTGGTAAAGAAACTAATAAACAAGTCACAAATCCGGAAAGGGTACCATAAAAAGCTCCCTACATTAAAAAAAATAAATAAAATAAAAACACGAGTACTTACTTTGGAGTTAGTTTTTGGTATCAAAAGCCCGCAAGTAAACATCCCCAAAATGGGGCCCCCAGTCACACCTATTATCGTAAAAATGAAATTAAATAGATTTCCCAAATATTGTATTACAAAAGCCAAAATAGTGCATAAGATACCAATTCCGACGACTGACAATTTCAAAATTTTGCTTTCAGAAAATTTGCTTAAAAATGGTTTCATGAAATCTGAATATATGGAATCAGACAAACAATTCAAAATTGCTGATTGGAGACTAAAATAAATTACAGTTATTGTGACTCAACTGAAAAAAGTTACCTCAAACTTGAGCTGAAAATTGCCGCTACAAAAATTCCGGATATTCCGGGAATTTCATTACCCACATCCATGGCAAGGTAAGGTAATAACTGGTCCTGGTTTTGGATAAATTTCGCACTGACTGGATCACAATCCGAATATTTTGCATACATAGTCAAGCCAAGAAAAATACAAATAATTATAGTAAAATAGAGGCCAATTATGCAATAACCCAGAGCTCTTGATGTTCCATCTATAGTTCGAATTGAGCGCATTTTTTGAACGGTAATTTGGTCAACACAAGTGATTGTTATAAATGTGAACGAATAACCAATTATCATAATCCAAACACTGCTATGTCGGGTCGGATTTGGGTCAAATCTGCAATTTAAGAGTGAATTTTTGGATTTGATTTTTCAAAAATCAGACTCAAAAATGTCCAAACGGCCACTTCTCATCGCTTTGTCCCAAATTTTGATAAAACCCCCAACTGATCCAATTCCCAAAGCTAGAATAATGATCAAAGTGATCAAAACGACAAAAAATTGCAACACTTCTGTCCAAATAACAGTTCTGAAACCTCCAATACTCGTATAAAAAATACAAACACCACTGACACCAACTATAACGTATTGCAATTGAAATCCAGTGACTAGAAATAAAATACA